GAAGTAGCAGAATGTATTTTGGGGAGTAATTCCACATATACCCATGGCATGGGTGAGCAGTAAATCATTTAAGTGATAATTTTGTAGAAAAATAAAAAAATATATTTTTTTAATTTTCCAAAAACTTGTGGTAAAAATATAAATTCTTCTATTGATTCAACATGCCTCTCAGCAAATAGTTTGGGGTGTCTACTTTCCAAAAAGGGGTCGTTTTGGGAAGTGGGGGCGTTTTATGCCCAGCATTAGAAGTTTATGCCACACATCATTCACTCTTCTAACCACCTGAAGATCAAGCCTTTTCTGACACTTTTTGTTCACATGAAAAATAATCTGTATTTTTTGCTAGGAAATTAATTTAAACCCCCAAACAGTATACATTTTTTTAAAGCAGACACCCTAGTGAATAAAATGGTGGGTACTACAATTTTTTATGGCACATAGTACTTGCACAGCGATTTTTCAAATGCAAATTTAAAAAAAAAAAAACACACTTTTTTTACTTTTAATAAACAAAAAACACAATATATTGGCTAATTATTTTGTAAAATATAAAAGATAATGGTATTCCGAGTAAATAGATACCAAACATGACATGCTTTAAAACTCTGCATGCCCCGTGCAATGGCGACAAACTGCATACATTTTTAATATCCATAGGTAACGCTTTAAAAGCCTTTTTAAAGCTACCATTTTAGATTTACAGAGGAGGGTGTAGTGTTAGAATTACTGCCCTTGATCTGACGTTCACGGCGATACCTCACATGCATGGTGAAACTGCTGTTTACATACCGGCACAGGGTCAACGCTTGTGCATACAGGTGTGCGCGCATGGGAGGGTGAGTTTTTTTTATTTTTTTTTAAGTTATTTTTTATTTTTTTTATTATTTTTACACTGTAACTTTAATTTTTTTAGTCACTTTTAATGCTATCACAGGGAATGCAAATATCCCCTATAACTTCAATGGGCATTGTCATATATTCTTTTTTGAGAAATCTGGGGTCTATCAGACTCTGGATATCTCCTTACATTATCTAATCAAACCAAAATCGGTGTGATCAGATGCTTTCCCAATTTACAAATGGCACTGTTTATATCCTGCGAAATTGAAGTGATGAAATGCTCGTAGCTTCTGAATTCTTAGACTATAAAGATGGTTGACACCACTCTGGTCTCCAGTCAGCTCTATGGTCAGCTGGCAGAAACACCGGCTGCATTCTCAGGTTCCCCCGATGGCACGGGACTGCCCGAGAAGGCCGTGGAAGGCAGCGGGGAAAGGGGGCATCATCTCCTGCTGCTTGTAAAAGCAATCCTGCAGCTAATTAGCCACTAGCATTGCTTTTACATGAAAGCTGATCGCCGGCTGAAAAAAAATTATACCAGGATGATGCCTGCAGCTGTAGGCATCATCCTGGTATAACCATTCAAAGTCAAGTGATGTACCAGTACATCGCTGATCCTTGTTGGTTATATATGCCATGTTCTTTTTTTTTTTTGTATGCAGCCTGTGGGCTGAATGAAAAAAAGAGAAGAAATCTCTGCCAGAAAAAGTGTGTGGTATGCCCACCATTAGAATATACCACCCTGCATCCACCCCCTTCTAATGGTGGGCACACATTAGGTCACACTTTGCCACAAGCGCCAGTTCCAAGATTGAACAAATGTTTAAATAGTGGCACGCTTGAATAAAAATTGTCCACGTATAATTGGTACCCCATATGGAAAAAGGATGACGCCAAGTCCCAAACTATCTTGACACTACTCCCCATGTAGTCTGGGCATCTGGGGGCTCCACGTGACTATCTTTTCCCTCATAAATACGAAACTTATAAGTATAGCCTGTTACCCTCTCACAGGTCTTCTACATCTTGACCCCATATCTGGCATGCTTGCTGGAGAGAAATTGTTTGAATGCACGGCAGCCAGAAAAATTAATCAGGGACTCATCAACACAGATGTTTTGCTGGGGAGTATAGACATCTGCAAATTTTTGGTTAAGCTGATTTACGAGGGGCTGAATTTTGTGGAGCCGGTCAATTTCAGGGTCACCCCGAGGACGACAGAGTGTATTGTCGTTGAAATGCATAAAACACATTATACTCTCATATCTATGCCTGGCCATGGCAGCAGAGAACACGGCATATGATGAATCGGGTCTGCGGACCAATACAACTGCAATTAATTTCTTTTAGTAATGCCCGTGTTGAGGGTTAGGCCCAAAAAAAATGTAAATTCGAAAACCGTAATGAGTTTCCATGCGACTGGTCTGGCAAGGTTTCAATTTGGGTTGGCGGCGATAAATTGTTGTGCCCTCTAAAGGCTATGCTGTACATTACTTAAGCTGGCCGTAGATGAAAGGAAATTTGGCTAGTTCAGCAGGCAGTGAATGATTTTTGGTCCATGTGTGGCACTCTCTGCAGCTGCTGATCGAGAAAAGTTTTTCAACATTCCTATTCAACAAAACTCAAGCAGCCACTGATCAGTGTATTCTGATGGTGGGGGAGTCCACATTGTCAGAATACAATAGCACAGCAGGGAAGATTCCTCCATCCTCCTTTTTTTTTTTTCTGTTCAGCCTACTATGCAACCAGCCAGGGATATCTAAAGCCACCGAAAAGACCACATCCAATTTTTTGCCACTGCACAGTGCGCATGCTGCACTCTTTTCTTATGGCAGGAGGGCCATGTTATGATCTTATGCACAGGCCCATTGCTTTCATAAAATACCCTTGCCAAGGCAGCATGGCTACGCAGTGTCCTGCCACTATCTACCATACCACATAATTTGTTTCCATGGAGTAGGGAGGAGGGAAATAGGGGGCTGACTCTGTTGTGATGGGGAGACTCTGTTGGCAGGGGAGAATTGCAAAGGGATGGGGGAGACTCTGATTTGAAGGAGGTGATGCAATGGGGCGACTGTGATGTGAAGGTGTATGACTCTGAAGTGATGGGTGGAATATGATGTGGAGGCGAACTCCCTCATGTGTTACCAAGGAGAGGGTGACATCATCCAGTACAGATGTCAGTGGTCTTCAGCCCCATAAATACACTTCAGGACTGGGGTACCTCAGGATTTGGAATACATTTAAAGGATATCATGAACAAAAAAAAAAGAACCTCTGGCCTAATGCATGTGCTTCTCATTGCAGCCACCTGCAGATTTGGGGAACTAAGAAAGGAAAGGATAAAATAGGGCATTGACATTATGCCCCCCTGACTTTTTTTCATTGCAGCCCCAGATCAGACAGGCTAGATAAAGCCCTGATGGCCAGCAAGTATTACTAATGTATAAATGTATCTTTATTTTCCAAAAAAAAAAAAAAAAAATAATTCTCCTTTGGGTGATCTATGTACACTGCAAAGTTTTTAACAAACCTTGTTATTCTGAAAAAATACATGTGTCCATGTGCAGAGGGAATTTGTATGAAAGTGATTTTACAATTATCAATCAGCTGCTGCACCTGCTGAGCTCTGAGGAAAGCTGCAGGGTCTGTAGCCATTTAAAAGTGATTTCCCTTTGGAGGAACCTCCTCAAAAAGGATATTTTTGTTGCAGGGGATGCCTAAAATCTGACTTGTATCTTAGTGCAGACTTCTGGAAAAATCAGTGAGCCAATCACACAAGTTGGAAATTACATTTTGGGGGGGGTGGGGTCTGTACAGCATCTGTGTACAGAATGCCTCCAGTTTGCCATTTCACTTTGCTTTTTAGGTACAGCAATGCAGGTTGAAAGGAAAAAGAATTTTAATAACATTCAATTACAATATGAATTGTGTCACAATTGTACTGTATATTTTTATTGATTTGCAATTTTTTCCCACAAAAGTGGAGTTACCTTTTTAAGGTAAGGGCAATACAACAAGGACATTAGAAGAGCAGTAAAGTAACACATTTGTAGCATACATAGGAACAGGGACATAGAGAGAGGTCTACATGTAAATGTCCAATTAAGGTTTTCTTAACTTTTATTTGCCACACATATAACAGGAAATTCTTCCATCAAAGAGATACAACAGGCATAAACAAAAAAGGGATGAGTTCCAGATTTGGTCAACCAGTAATTTGAGAATCCCTGAGATTTGAATTCAAGTGAATTTATGGACTAATTTGCCCAGGCTGATTTTTCAACCACCCGTAATATCTGCAAACCTTTGATTAATTTTCTTATAATTATCTCCTAAATGAAAAACATAGACTGCATGACATAGGTTTAAACTAAACAGCAGCCTTTTCTTTTTATAAACATGAAGAACTAAATAAACACAAAAATAACAAAGAATAAACATTTAGACAATGCAACCAGGAGGGAGTCTTTCGGTGTCAAAGGCACAATTTGTAACTAGAATTGTTGACGTTCTTGGCCATGCTTCACTGACTCAAAAGACGGTACCAAAACTATACATTTATTTTTTCCTAAGAGACCTAACTCAACAGAGAACCACCAATAATCAAGCAAGTGGAAGCACCATACCCAAAATCGGTCCCCGGTTTTGTAACAGATAAACTATTCAATGAACCCCAAAGACCCCCTGATCATCCAATCTGCTTTAACATCCGGTAAGACCATCACCCCACTGCCCTAAACTCCCTCTCTAACCCTTCTCTGACCTGCTTCTCCTCCTAATCATGCAGACTCTTCATACATGTTGTTCTTCTCTAGGTCGCACTTGACTAAAAGATTCATCAATCCAGATCCCTCTAATTGCTTTCAAAAAGAATGTGTCAAGCACCGCCTGGTGGTGTCTCTAGCAGCCCACAGCACAGGGTTCATCAGGGCGCGGGGTCTAAGTACCAATCTGCTTGTTCACCAGGGCCCCTGATGGTGGGGATGGACTTGGAGCAGACTGAGACCAGGTTTCGACCCCTGAGTACGTCTGGCAATGGTAGAGAGCGCCGTCAGGGGTGTGCGGGAAATGGAGCCTGATGTGAAGGGGCTGGCAAGCCTGGTATCAGGGACAGATCCGTGCGGGATGGATGGATCGTCAGGGTAATGTAAGGCGTAGTCAGGCAGGCCAGGTCAGCAGCGTGCGGGCAGCAAGGTACCGGAGGAGCAGGCAGAGAATGGTCAGGGTCACAAGCCGGGTTCAGCAACTAACGGGCAGCGCGGTACAGAGGATCAGGCAGAAGGATGGTCAGGTAAGCCAGGGGTCAAGCAGGAGACAATCAGCAGGGTCAGGAACAATGCAGAGGTCGGCAACAGAAGCTTTACAGGATCAGATAACAGGAACAGAACAATAAAGACAAATCGGCAATTGACATACCTCCTGTCTGTTTAAATAGCGCGCCCTGTCATTGGTGCCAGGCGCGTGTCCGCAATCGCGAGTGCGCATGCACGGCCATCGAGATCGCCCAGGCCCTGCTGCTCGCCGGCTAGAGTGTATCGGTGTTCAGCACATGCGCCGCCCGGTGCATCGCGGCACAGCCACCGATCCCTGACACCGATCCTTGACTACGGGCAGCTGCCCGATGCCCAATTGCTCTCTCCTGCGTGGGTGATTGCGTAAAAACTCCCGAATTAGTCTAGAGGCATGGATGTTCTGGGCTGGTTCCCATGAGTTTTCCTCCGGGCCGTAACCTTTCCATTTAATGAGGAATTTGGTCTGGCCTCTTCTTTTCCTGCAATCTAGAATTGCTTCAACCTCAAATTCCTCCTCCTCATCAATGTTTACGGCCTCCGGAGGTCTAGATCTCCGGTTCAGGAATGGATCCAGTGCCGCAGGTTTCAACAAAGACACATGAAAGACTGGGTGTATTTTAAAGGATTCGGGAAGTACGAGTTCATATGCCACCTTGTTAATTTTCCGTTTCACCTTGAATGGACCCATGAATTTTGGTCCTAATTTCCTTGATGGGCAAGACATTTTCAGATTTGTTGTGGCTAGCCAGACCTGGTCCCCAGGGTGCAGAACAAGTTTGCCTCTCCTCCTCTTATCGAAGGCCTTTTTACTATCTTCTTGGGCCCTTGCGATAGCTTCTTGTAGAACCTTGTAAGAACGGAGATTGTTGAGTAGCAGAGTGACTCGCATTGTTGTATGCGAACTTGGCCAGTGGCAAGAGAGTCAGCCAATCATCCTGGAGGAAGGAGGTGTAGCACCTGAGATACTGCTCCAGAGTCTGGTTTTTGCGTTCCGTCTGCCCGTTGGTCTGTGGATGATATGCCGAAGATAACGACAGCTTGATTCCCAGGGTCTCGCACAGTGCTCTCCAGAATTTAGAGGTGAACTGAACCCCTCTATCTGAGATGATGTCCTTTGGAACCCCATGAAGTCTCACCACTTCCCTCACGAAGCCTTGTGCTGTCTCTGCAGCTGATGGCGTGTTTTTCAGAGGCAGGAAATGGGCCATCTTGGACAGGCAGTCCACCACCACGAAAATGGCGGTATGATCTTGGGATGATGGGAGCTCAACGATGAAGTCGATGGAAATCATCTCCCATGGCCTGTTAGGTATTGGTAAGGGTCGTAGCAGACCCCAGGCCTTGCTCCTGGTGGGCTTGTTTCTCTGGCAGATCGCACAGGTTTTCACGTACGCTTCAAAATCTTTAGTCATGCTGGGCCACCAGAACACACGTTGTAGTAGTTCCAAAGTCTTCCGTACCCCGAAGTTGCCAGCCAGAGGATGATCATGGCAGTGGCCTAAGACTGCGGTACGGGTTTCTTCGGGCACCATGATCCGTCCCTCCTTCCCACAAAAGCCCTTCCTTATTTTGCAATGAAACCCCTGGTGGGCTCGGCATCCCTACGGACGCAGCCTGTAGTTGGGACCGCAGCTCGGTCTGTAGAGCGAGGAAATTCCCAGTAGACAGGATGGTGTCCGGTTTGTGGGTTTCTGCAGGGTCTTCAAACATACACGAGAGTGCGTCAGGTTTTGTGTTCTTTGATCCAGGCCTTTATGTGATGTGGAACACAAACCTCGAGAAAAAGAGTGCCCACCTAGCCTGACGTGGCCTCAAGCGCTTTGCCGTCCTCAGGTACTCCAGATTCTTGTGGTCAATGAAGATCAGGATTGGGTGTGTGGCTTCCTCCAGTAGGTACCTCCACTCCTCTAATGCTGCCTTGATGGCCAGAAGTTTCCGGTTCCCAAATATCATAATTCCTCTCCGCAGACGAGAGTTTTCTGGAGAAGAAGGCCACAGGGTGCATCAGTTCCTTGACGCCCTTCCTCTGGGACAGCAAAGCCCCTACCGCGTTCTCAGACGCGTCTACCTCCAGAATGTAGGGTAAGGAGGAATCCGGGTGGCTCAGTATGGGGGCCTCGGTGAACAGTCTCTTCAAGGACTCGAAGGCCATCTGTGCCTCAGGTGTCCACCTAAAACGCACCTCTTGTCTGGTGAGCTGGGTGATGGGGGACACGAGGCCTGAAAAGTTCTTGATAAATTTCCTCCTATAAAAATTGGCGAAGCCAATGAATCGCTGCACACCCTTCTTGTCGACCAGCACCGGCCATTCCAGAATAGCAGAGATCTTTTGGGGGTCCATGGCTACTTCAGTGGTGGAAATGATTAGTCCCAGGAAGGAAATGCTGCGTTACTCAAAACTGCACTTCTCTGCCTTTGCGTACAGCCCATGTTGACGGAGCCGTGCCAGCACACTTCTAACATGACCTCTATGCTCTTCCAGGGACGCAGAGAAAATCAGGATGTCATCCACAAAAACGTCCAAAAAATCTCTGAACACATCATTGATGAAGTGTTGAAAGGTGGCTGGGGCATTGCACAGACCGAAGGGCATAACTAAATACTCAAAATGCCCAAACCTAGTAAGGAAGGCTGTCTTCCACTCATCTCCCTCCCGAATGCGGACCAAATTGTAAGCCCCCCTTAGATCCAATTTTGTAAAAAATGGATGCTGTCCTGAGCCTCTGAAATAATTCTGGCACCAAGGGAAGTGGGTAACGGTTCTTTACTATGATCTTATTTAGTTCCCTGTAGTCCACACAGGGTCTTAGGGATTTATCCTTCTTCTCAACGAAGAAAATTCCCTCCCCGGCCGGAGACGTGGAAGGGCGGATGAACCCCTTCTGGAGATTCTCATCTATATACTCTTTAAGTACCCCTAACTCTCTCTCTGATAGGGGAAAAATTCGCCCAAAGGGCACCGCAGATCCTGGAAGCAGGTCAATGGGGCAATCATAGGTCCTATGTGGGGGAAGGTTGTCCGCTCCTCGTTGGCTGAACACGTCGAGATAGCTGTGGTAGGCCGGGGGAATGAGTTGCGTCAGTTCTGCGTCAGTGTCTAAGCATAACAGAGAGCGTGGAGCTAAAGGCACCTGGGGACAGCAATGCTCCGAACAGTATGGGGATCTGAACTGAAGGGTACCAGTTATCCAATTAATCTGGGGGTCGTGTGCCCGTAGCCAAGGAAGCCCCAGAATAATTGGAAACAGAGGGGATGCGATGGCATCCAAACGAAGGAACTCTTGATGGTGACCAGCCACCGTAGCATAGAGAGGTGGGGTCTCCCGGTCTACCACTCCTGACTTGATTCCGGACCCATCGGCCAAAAAGATGTTCAATTCACATTCCTTGGTTTGTAGGGGGATTTGATGCTGTGCTGCAAAACCTAGATCTACAAAGCAGCTACAGGCCCCGGAATCAACGATTGCTGTCGCTGACACGGTCCTTCCGGGAAGCTGGAAAGAGATTGGTACTGCTAAGTAATTAGAACTATTAACGGCAGTGGAAGATGTGGCAGAAAACACAGATGCACACTTACCCAGTTTCGCTGGGCAGGAACATACCATGTGGCCCGCTTCCCCACAGTACAGGCACAGGTTGTTGAGCCGGCGTCTCAGGCGTTCCTCAAACGTTAATGAGGGACGAGTTAACCCCACTTGCATGGGTTCAGGTGCCTCTGCTGTCTCCGGGTAGGGATTGCCAGTAGGCAGAGCAGCCTGCACTGGAACACGGGGTAACACTCACGTAGGCCTCTGATCCTGGCCGGACCTTTCCATCCTGCGTTCCCGCAACCCGTCGGTCAATCTGGATGGCCAGAGCGATGAGGTCTTCCAATGTGGCTGGTATGCCCACCCTGGCTAATTCGTCCTTCAATGGCTCGGACAGCCCTATGCGGAACTGGTGGCACAGGGCTGCATCATTCCACTGCGTATCCCCCATCCAACTCCTGAACTCTGCCGCATATTCTTCGGTTGCCCTACAACCCTGTCGGAGTGTTTGTAGGGCTGATTCGGCCGAAGCTGTCCGTTGTGGGTAGTCATAAAGAAGTGGCATTGCTTCAAAGAAGGTCAATACCGACTCCAACTGTGGTTGATGGGTCTCCAATAAACGGTGGGCCCAGGCCTGGTGGTCGTCCTGCAGCGAAATGACAAATCCCACCTTCACAGATTCCGTGGAAAATGTCCATGGCTGCAGACTGAAATAAAGCTGGCAGGCATTGCGGAAGGCCCTGAATTTAGTGCGGTCCCCATTGAACCGTTCCGGTGTCGGCACACGAGGTTTCGGTACAGGCACAGAGACCGCGGCTCCGGCAGGCGTTTCCGGGGAACTTCCGGCCGACGGTGAGGGACCCGAGTCTTGGGATGCAGGGACAGACGTAGTCAACATCTGAATCTGTCCTTCCAAATGGGTATAACCCTCCTACAGCGTCTTTACTGCCTGGGTTAGTGCCGCCAGGTGCTGGCATATATCCTCCAATGGGGATGGCCCTTTTCCAGGCTCTGACATCTGGCCGTTTGGTACTGTCAAGCACTGCCTGGTGGTGTCTCTAGCAGCCCACAGCACGGGGTTCCTCAGGGCGTGGGGTCTAAGTCCCAATCTGCTTGTTCACCAGGGCCCCTGATGGTGGGGATGGACTTGAAGCAGACTGAGACCAGGTCGTGACCCCTGAGTACGTCCGGCAATGGTACAAAGCGCCGTCAGGGGTGTGGGCGGGAAATGGAGCCTGACGTGAAGAAGCTGGCAAGCCTGGTAACAGGGACAGATCCGTGGGATGGATGGATGGATCGTCAGGGTAATGTAAGGCATAGTCAGGCAGGCCAGGTCAGCAACGTGCGGGCAGCGAGGTACCGGAGCAGGCAGAGAATGGTCAGGGTCACAAGCCGGGTTCAGCAACTAACGGGCAGCGCGGTACAGAGGATCAGGCAGCAGGATGGTCAGGTAAGCCAGGGGTCAAGCAGGAGACAATCAACAGGGTCAGGAACAATGCAGAGGTCGGCAACAGAAGCTTCACAGGATCAGATAACAGGAACAGAACAATAAAGACCAAACAGCAATTGACATACCTCCTGTCCCGTTTAAATAGCGCGCCCTGCGCTGTCATTGGTGCCAGGCGCGTGTCCGCGATCATGAGTGCGCATGCGCGGCCGTCGCAATTGCCCAGGTCCCGCTGCTCGCCGGCTAGAGTGTATCGGTGTTCTGTGCATGCGCCGCCCGGCGCATCGCGAAAGAGCCACCGATCCCTGACAGAATGACACTAACTGCGTGACATGGATTTAAACGGCCAGAGCAACCTTTTTATTTACAAACCAAAACAACAAAATAAATAACATAAAATGATCTTAATATTGGAAAAATTACAATGTAACCAGCAAGCAGGTCTTTGGGTGTCCTTAAAGGCAGTAGTTATAACTAGAATTACCTATGTTCTCAGCTATGCCTCACTGGCTCCAAACTTACCTGTTCCTACTCTTTCCCAGGGGATATAACTCCTGACAGAAAATATGCAAATGGAAGCATCATACCTGAGATGGGCTCTCAGTTTGGTAATAATTCAACTAGTCACTAACAGTGACACCTCACTCAGGCGAGTCCCTCAACACTAATAGTGCCCTCTGAACTCCTTACTGCAGTTCCAAAAACCAGATAGCCATCCTTAGCACATTTAATTTAATTCCATTATCCCTCCAGTACCAAAAGGTCTAATCCTCCAGTTCCATGTGCTGACTGACTATTCCACCGATCCATTACACAAACCTCTCTGTTCACTTTTATTCTGGCTTGTTTCAAATGCTCAATGAAGTAAGCATAACACCAGGTCCTTCTGACCACAATGCCTGACTATACTATTACACTGGAAAACTCAAACCTTAAATGTAGGATATCAAATTTAACTTCCCTCACAAGATCTCTCGTTGACCTCACCCCCTCTTTTCTGCCTGCATGCAGCATTAAAACATTAAGGGGGCCTGTTTACTCTAGAACAATAGTGAAATTGAAGTAAAACTTGACTCCACTCACGGCCAGCCACCAAAAGACTGCATCACTTTGCTGAACATCAAGCTGTCTCCCTTTCTGCCCAGATTTCCCCCAAAAAAAACAGGAATTGCCCAAAATTCATACCACCCCTTGAAAAATTTCTGCAATTGGAAAAACAAAAAGTAAAGATACAAAGTTTCTATACCAAAATTACTGAACAAGCTTTAAATCGCCCTTACTTGTTTTGTTTTTGGTGCTCTGAACTGTTCCGACTTTCAATCAGTTTCTCTACCTGAGGACTTCCATCAGGCTGCCTCTGCAGCCTCCCCCACCCCTAAATTAACATGCATTAAACTTGCTAACAATTCTACTTCTTCCAAAATGTGGTAGCACTTTATTCTGCTCTGCAAAATGTGATGTTTCATGTCATAGGTAAAACTTTACCAGTAAAAGCATAGTTTTAAGTCTGAAAACAAACTTGTACAAAACATAAAATTTTTTAAAAATTACACATATAGATACTATTAATTATATTTCAGAATATGCCATTTCACACTATGTATGAGTTAATGATTCTCTTTTTTGTAATTCTTTTATTTATTCAAAGGATGTACAATATATGCAAGATTAAAGCATAGAAGGGTGTAAAGATAGCTAAATAGCAGTGGCAAGACAACAAAGTCTACTTATCAAATAAATAAGTTAATGTGGTGAGCGGCAAGTAGCGCCTCAGATATGAACATTGGAATGCAACCAGATATGATGAGTAAAGGAAAAAAAATACCAGCATCAGAGTGACCCAAGGACCAAAAAAGACCTTTAAAGAAGTATATCACCAAGTAGGCAAGGAATACTAGCAAGGAGGCAGCATAAAGCTGCAAATAATCTATCTCATAACTGAATGGAAGCAATAGAAGGATGAAGGGGGTAGCAGAGAACTGGGGAAAGGGAAGGAGAAAAAGTAGGGAAAGGAAGAAAAAAGGAATTAAAAAAATTAGATGAACAGCCCCTGGTTGAGGGAAGGAGTGGTGCACAGAAAAGACGGCCCTGAAAGGGGACTCAAAAGAGAGATAGAGAATCAGAAAAGCAAGGACTCACCCGGGGCAAAGTACAAGTTAGTCCCATAGGGTTTCAGCCGGGTTTGAGAGCCAGGTGTCACCAAAAAAATCTCCTTTCGGTTAAATAATGTGGCTGTGGAGTACCAAAGAGACTTTGTAGGCGGATTCATATATCTCCAGCACAGAGGGATACAGGCCTTTGCTGTGTTACACAAATCGTTAGGGAGGCCTTATATTTTTTGATGGGACATTCTGTTAGGTGCAGTAGACATGCTGCTTGGTCCTCTGCTAGATCAACATTTGTTAGATGTTTAATGGTGCTAGCCACTGCTTGCAAAATGGTCTAATCTTTAGACAGGCCCAAAAAATGTGGAGAATCGTGTCCCAATCAGTGCCACATCGTCAGCACAAGTTGAAACTTGTGGAAAAATACGGTGTAATGTTGCGGGATCCCTGTACCACCAAGTCAGGATCTTATAGCTGGCCTCTTGGTGGTGATAGAGGATTTCTGTGCAAACTGAAGAATTTTATCCTTTTGTGAATTCGTAAAATGCATAGTGAGTTCAGTTTCCTACTTAGAGAGAAAGGTATGAGTGCAATTCCTCCTTTGGTCAGGTCAGCATAAATGGTTGAGACAGTGGCAGGTCTGTTCCTGTCTGTGACAAATGCTTTCCAGTTCTGTAAGTTGGTGGTAAACCCCCAGAGAACAGGAACATTGAAAATGACTAAGCTGTAGGTTATTACAAAAGTGGGTCTGCAGCATTGGCAAAGGCAAGAGAAGAGAGCTTGCAATTGGTCCCCAGGAAATCCCAGAGGTGGAGACAACCACCTAACACCATGTTTTGAAATTGATGGCTATCAAGTCCTGGCTGGAATTCTGGATTCCTCAAGATGCGAATCATGGGGGATGGCAGTGCGGAAATTGAGGAATTGTGAAAAGACTCTCTAGTGACCATCAAGGTGCTTCCAAAGGAGGGTAGGATGGTCAGTAAGGATTCTTGGTAACTGCGAGGCAATACAGGGCCAGCTGCCATGGGAGTTCTCCAATTTCATTGCCACCCAATGCAATGATTCTCTTTTAAACATACTGTCTATTCTTGTCTTATCCACTACACTTATCTTGTCACTACACTTTTCTTTACTTACCCACTACACCAGAAATATTTTTGGCTTTCTACACCCAGCTCCAAAATCATACATTAGTGAACAATCTTTCAAAGCTCTCTCACACATACAGTATCTAATAATTATGATTAATAATACAAATTGAATATTTGCAAGCTTGCATTATAATATATTTTCTATGTTGCCGAATAATGAATTTGAATAAATACATTTCTAACATAATGCTACTGTACTATTCCTTTATATCCTTGTGTGTTCACTTTAAAGAAATTGTCTCATTAGGGATAAAACCTTATCTGCTAGTCTATTGAATAATGCTTAAATACTTACGTTATAAGAAATATCAAAGGATTCCATAAAACATGACTTCTATACCTCCTATTCTGCTATAATTGTCTTTGAGCTCCTCCGCTGTATGAAGCCTAGTTTGTGGGGATTTCTATTGGGAAACCTACGCAGATCTCAGCTGAAACCTTCCCAAATCATGTGAGCGAGCCTAAATTTAGGACTCTGTGTTACAGGCAATCACACTCACGTGCCCCCACCCTTGGATAGGCCAGCAACGTATATGTGTGTGTGTATATATATATATATATATATATATATATATATATCAGTAAAGGTTCTTCCATGTTTGATAATGAGAATACGGGGGAGGAGGAGCAAGATCAGGTAGTCATTCACTCTTTGTTTATAGCTATCTCACACATTGTGGATATCAGCAGAATACATGTGACATCCAAAAGTGATGCGACTATTCTACCAAGTTCCAGGGTGTAAACTGTCAGCAGGGACAATGGTTACATTCAATACTCTGCATCTCTGTAGCAGTCAACAGTTAAAACACATTTCCCAATTAGCTCTCTAAGAGGAAACTCCAGAGGAGCAACCAGAGGGCTGACCCATCAAGGGAAAGTTGAATATAGAACTGAGGTAGCTTACATCAACTGACTTTTTTCAGCTGTAGGTGGCTGGGTCTTCTAGAGTAGTAGCATAGCAAAGGAAATGCCAAAAAGGTTTGGAAAACCTGGTCCATTTAGCCTGTCCTTTAAAATTAAAAGAGGTTTTTAATATCTACTTCATGGTAACAGGAGTGTTGGCATATGAAAGAGATACATATTACTACAATTTTAGAAACCCATGAAAGCAGAAAGGAGTAGGGACTGGGAGCATAAAAAAAATAAGCCTCCGCTGAGATATAGGGGTAAATTGGTTGTTAGAATTTTTTTTTAAAAAAAGGGAGTTCAGCATAAGCAATCCCCAAATATTAATCAGCAAAACATTCCTTAAAGACTACCTGCTTACAGCAAAATCAGTGCTTGTTCTGGTGCTGGTTTGAAAACCCATGGGCAACAACTAGGATCACACATTACATTTATAGTGTCCCCAGATTATTAGAAATTTAGTTTGGTTAGTATACACTAACTGAGGAAAACATGTTGAGGTTGCAAAAAAAAAAAATGTTAAACTCTGCATTCCAAATCCCACAAAAGTGTTACACTGATACTTGATGCCACAGTTTAAGAACTTCTGCTTTGTGGAGCACCTAGCATTTTACACAGACACCGGCGCTAATGCTGTAGTGGCTGCAGGTTAGCAGATGTAGCAAGCTGATGCTCGGTGAAAAGAGAGTAAAGGATCATAATGGGGGTTTGCAGATACCAGGGGCTTATGTGTTTTTTCATCAAAATTTTAGCAGTGTAAAAGAGTGTAATAACAAGCAGGCCTGTCTTATCGCATGAGTACCCCTGGACACTGCCCAGGTGCATGGTGGACCCCTGCAGTCCCCCCTCCTCCTCCTTCCCCAGCAAAGGGAAACACAAACTCGGCTTACTATTCATTTTTTCAAACTATGAACTATTTTTTAAAAAAGCAACAAACTTTTAGTATTCACATTTAGAAACTAGCAGTCCAACCTAGTCCTTAATCATGTTCACAAGCACAATATATTAGGGGAAAATCTACATTATAAATAAGCTTCCTTCCTGTGTCTAACATCATTTGATACTATAAATGTTTAATGTTTTTTC